TTTCTCACGGCTCAGCGCATAGAAGCAATGCGTCTACCGTACAGTCGGCGCATGGGTGTTTAATTTTCCACGGATCAGCGCATGAAGACATGCGTCGACCATGCCACTCAGCGCATGAAGCTGTGTATTTCCCACGGGTCAGCGCACGCCGATCCTATGGTCGACCGTTCGCGCGCTGTGCAGTTTTTCTTGTTGTGTTTTAAAATTCTGTTCAGTTGACTGTTTTGGTTATTACTATAAATAGAGTTTTGCTTATTTTTGACAAACTAACAATTGAAATCTTGAGTAAATTGTCAGGGCAAGAAACATGAAATAGGTGTAACATATATCTTCATCTTCATCCTTCAAACAACACACAAATCCACAAATATACACAATCATTTTTGCTGTGATTGGTGTCTTGTTCAAGGGTGATAAGGTTCGAACGCGTTGATTGAAGATCCAGTTCGAGTGGAAATTGGGGCAGGTATTTCTTGCAGAAAACCTTGAGGGTTTTACCCATCAAGACTAGAAGGTTTTGAGGGCTTTTTCTACGAAATAGTTCGTTCAACATTCAAGCAAGTGCGAAGGTAATTGATCAACGGAAGGTTCATCAGTTTAGTAGCTAGGGCGTTGAAGTGTTGAAGACTTTCTGGGTTTTGATTTGTTGGTGTCTAAGATCAGCCGAGCCGAAGGTTTGAACAACGAAAGGTTTTTCATTAAGGTGGCTGGAATCGGAGATCATTCACAACAAATTGAAGGGCTTAATTCATCTTGAATCAAGGTGCAAGAAGGGATAGCAAGCATCAACATCATTTGAGATTGTTTGTATCATTGTCTATCAACTCTTGTGTAAACTGTTCATTCCAACAGGTGATATATATTCAATATATCTCAATTCTAATTTTAGAATTGAGGGCAGACGTACCCCGAAGCGAGGACGACGGGGGAACTGCCTCATCAAATCGTGTGTTCTTTAGTTTCTGTCATTTTCAATTCAACTTATAAAATAAGTGATTCTAGCTTAAGTGATTATTGTCAAACTGTGATACAAATTGAGTAAGGTGTTGAAACTCTGTTTTAACTACTAAGTACAATAAGAATATTGTACTAAGGCATTTCCAATCTCTTACTCAACATAAATATCCTTTGAGGTATTTGTGCACACAAACTGTTCGACAAAAGTCCTGAACTAAAATTGTCTTATTTTACTTCTAGTTTTTGTGTGCCTTGTTTTTCATTGGAACTAGGTAACCTTGCAAATTGATAAGCATAGTTTGCGTTGTGATTCTATTTTTCCGAATTGTCATAAATCCATAGGCTTACGTATATCCGGTTTTCCAATAACCGTTCGTTTTAGACTACAATTTTCCTCGGCCGCTTCCGCACTTAAAAACAATTTTAAAACCAATTTCAAATTGGTAGCGCCGACTCAAATTTTAATTGGGGATCTATTCAACCCCCCCTTCTAGATCCGTGCCATAGTCTAACAAAGTTATCTTTAGGTTTGATGTTCCTAAGAGCTTCACTTGCTTCGCCTAAAGATGTGTATAAGAATCCTAAAATCAGTTGGCTAAGATCAAGATTTTTCCTATCATGTAGCTAGTTTGCAAAGGTCAGATACCTTTTAGCTACTTTTAACGACTTGGAGAGAAATACACATCTAGACAATCACAAGGGCAAGAACGAGATATGTTCTTCAGCAGATACTTCAGGTTCGTCATAATTATTGTAGTTTGCTATGTATCTTGTGAAGCCAACACACTTGCCATTAAAGTTGATGCGGTCATCAGTAGGTTGAATCCGTCTCCATCTGGGCAAAGGCAAGTGATGGCCTTCACATCGAAGAGTGTGGGTGTCAATATTCCACAGGAAAGTTGAAAGGTATTAGTCATGCTACCTCATAAGTAAATGGAGACGACAAGCATGTTTTGGGAATATGTTGGGTCGTTCGTCGATAATTGGATCAGGCCGAAGATGCCCATCTCCTTATAGGTATCTTCCATTTTGGTTTCTATTCTATCCAGCCAAGAAATATAGTCATTGTGTTTTTTAGTTGGGGGAGCAGAGCGGGAAACCCGCAAGTTGTTGGTCTGATATTTTAAGTTCATTGATGTCTTAATACTAGCACCGAGTTTAGTCCTATGATAATTGGGGAAGAAGTCCTTGGACTTAGAGAGGTCATCTTTAGGTTCAAGCATGGGACCCATAAAAGCATGTTGAGTTCTAGAAAGAGTAAAACAAGTAAGTACCTGCAATTTGAAAATCCCGAGTTTCTCTTCAAGATTTTGTGGTTCTGGTATATACTCTCTATTCCCCACTACGGTGGTGTTGTTCAATGCATAAGCTTGAGGAACGAGTTCTTTGGATGCTTGAGTACTTTTGGTTGAAGGTGTCATTGAAGACTTGAAGGTGTGATAAGGAAATTTGGGAAAAAGTTCTGAAAAAATACTTTCGCAGTGGAAGAGTTCCGAATAAAATGGTGAACAAATGTTGAAAGGTTGAAAACAAGTTATTTATAAGGGGAAGTAGAAAACCCCTCAGTTTCTACTACTGAGTTGTACGCAAGAAAGGAGTTAAATGTGGCATGGTAGTGGAGGCAGAAGTTGGCGAGTGTTCTATGCAAACTTACCCCTACCCTACGAATCCGACGCCATGATGGTAAGAAGTTTAGGAAATGACAAAAGCACGTTTCGAGGTGACGGTTGAAGAGAAAAATCATGATGGCATGATGTCATCCCACTAGGTGAACAATTGGCTGAAAAGGTCAAAAAATGCCCATATCTTCTAAGATGTTGAAAGAGGCCTTTTAGGGGGGGGGGGGTTGTTAGGTGAAATTTTTAGCCAGTAAAAGAAACCCAGCAAACAATGGCAGCCATGTAGGATTCATGGATCGACCAAGATATGGACTTAGAAGATTTTTTGGCTATCATGAGGAGAATTCGACTAAGGAGTTTCATCGACCATGTATCCTGGGCGACAACAACAAAGTGGTCGATGAGGCAGTTATTTGGGCACGTAATATCACGTTCAAATACCAATAATTGCCTTAAAGTTTGTTCTTGAATGGACACATGGAGGGATTTCTGAAGATAAGTTACATACAAAGCTTCATGTGACGAGATATGATGGAAGAAACGTTAGGAGTAGTTATTTTCACAATTGTATATATAGTAGTTCATTTTGTTGAATTAGGGGTGTTCAATTGGTATTACAAAAATCTCACTACAAACTCAAAGTATCAGCGCTTAAGAGAAACGAGTGAATTGCCGAGAGGATGTAAGAACATGTGAAACACCAGATTTTTACTTTCAATGAAATTGGTTTAATTTATTTGATTTATGCTTCATTTCAATTTAAGCTCTTAACGTTTCTTTAAAGTTTTCAGTCTTTTCGCTTGGTTGTTACTTTCTTGCAATAGATAGCGTTGTCAACTTAGTATCAAACCAACATTTCCTTCGACCAAGTCGAAGTTCCTACCTCTAAAACATAAAGAAATCACGAATAGAAAGATTATTAAGCACAATATTCTAGGATTCACTTGTTGATCCTGCGAGTAACCAATATTTTGGAGATCAACAGTTGTTTACTATTTTTTAGGGTAAACAACTTCACAATTCTCAAAATATTATAAGATTAAATATGAATTAAACAAATAAAAACAAGGATTATTAGTCATCCTGAGCATATAAGGGAACAATGGATGGCTCCCTCACATTTTTCTGGTTTGAAACTAAGTGATTCAAGCATCGAAACATGTTTTTGCAAAATGATACATGAAATGATTTTGTATGAAGCACAAAGTTCAAATTAATACTAACATTCTACTAAGCGATAAACATGTACCTTCCTTGTGAGTATCTCATCAAAATTTCTTATCATCACTACTATTCTCTTGCTTCCTCAAGCAAGTTTAGAAAACCAATCTTAAAGACAAACGCCAAAAAACTTCTTTGTAAAAATTAAACAAAATAATACTTGTAGACACCAAAAGTTTAAATAAACAACTTATAGACAACTAATCATCCAAAGTTACGATGTAAACACGGACAAATAGTGCATAATACAACTTAAATTCAAATCCCAAAATAGTGCATAATACAACTGAAAAATAAGCATAAATATATTAAGAAATGATGATTGAAAGCTCTTAAAATTTTCACTTAGTAATGGCGAGCTTCCCGTCATTGTCACCCTTCTATTATTCCTCCATCTCATCATCTTTCGGGAGTCGGAATCAGAACCTATTTCTTCATCAGCTCCTCCTAATGTTTCTTCATCTCCTTTTTCATTATTACCAGCTTCATCAATACCACTAGCTGTCCCTCCTAGGTACTTGTTGGTTTTATATGTTAAATCAATCATTAGCATTATGGAAAATGTGTTGAACAACTTGATGGAATTTGAATGAGCCCAAAATATATCTCGAACACCTTGTGATAAACAAGGTTGTATCCTAAACAAGGTTGATAGAGATTGTTGCTTTGTTTCTAGATGAGAGTTTTGTCATTGTGAATCTAAAACTAGGACTCATTTGTCTTTGGATTGAGTCAGCCTCATATTTTAGTTGCGGTATTGACATTGTCAAATCAAGAACCATATGCACCACACGAGTCAATACTTGCATAAGAAATACTCAAGACTATATTTTACCTGACTGGAAATGTTCAAAGTCTGCATAGAAGCTAAGTCAATCATAACCAAACTTTCAAACATATGACATGTGTTCCCTTGACTAACTAATTAATATACAAACATTTTCCAATCCATAAGAGATTTAAAAAATAAAAAAAAAACTCATTACAAACATATGGCATGTGTACTTTGATAATAGGCAACTTTACAAAATCACTCAAGGAATGTATAGCATGGCTGCAGAGATTGTATAGAACAACTCAACCAACTTTAATTACAACTTATAACTTTTCAAAATTGTACTTCAAATCCAACAGAAACATATTATATATTCAGACATTAATATTATAGTACTATAATGTGTGATAAAAGGCAATTTTACAAATTTACTCAACATCATCAGTTACTTGAGCACATGATGCTTCCATCATACCATTGCGTATTTGATTAGAGATATCCCTAACATGGCCAGGTCCATGAGGTATAAAAACTGTGGTATTCTTTGAAGAGTTACCAAGGTCTCTGATTGTGTCAAAGTACTGAGTTATCATGATAAGATCCATCACTTCCTTTGCTGAAGTTCCTTCTACTTTGGTAGAGAATTGCAAGATGTTCTCTCTTAAGCCATCCGTGATAGCTTGTCGCTGTCTTGCCACACCAACCCCGCCTAAGTACTTTGATTCTGCTTCTGCTTCTGCCTTTTTAACTATAAGCACCTTTTCAGCTTCTCCTTTGAATTCACTAGCGCGTAGCATCCTTTGAGCTGTGAAGTTAAATCAACACTCATTAGTTAAGCTACACACACCGACGTAGCATCATGATGCCATAAACACACCATAGAGGCTGCATATGGACGAGCAGATAGAATGAACACAAGTACACACGCACATGCGCGAGCGCACATACACACGAAAAGCTTAAGGTTCAATTGGAAAACCGAGAGACGTTGAAAGAAACTAAAGTAGTGAAACACCGGAATATGCATACTAATCTTTCAAAATCCGAGCAGTAAACTTTTTGATCAAGTATAATATATACGTTACCTGCATTAATCTCATTCATTGCCCTCCGCACAGAAGGATCCGGGATAATATCAACCATCAGTATATGTTCTATGCTATATCCATATTCTCCCATTACCTGATACATGAAATTCAGGAGGAGAAAATTAGGAGATACAGTATACAACACAAGTTAATATAAACTCAATTAATTATCTAACATCTGACACTTGTTGAAGAAATTAAATGACTATAGCGAAATCTTATTAGATTATCGAATATTTCAAAACAGATGCTTTAACATAAAGTATTGAAGTTGCAATGAATTTGGTTTCTTAAGCCAAGATACTACTAAGGTTCGAGTAATATAAATGAAAAAATAGATGTTGAGTTTAACTTTTTCAAATGGATCCATCTGGCTAGACTCGGATTAGTTTAGTCTCTCCATCATAGTTGTTGAACTCAAGATACTTCCTATGATTGTTTGGGTATAGACATTGGACCCAACAAAAATGGGAACAAAATAGACAATTGGGCTCAATGGCCCGATTCTCACATGAGGAACCTAGCTAAGACTACGAAAACTAGCCATCCACTCTGCCTCTCTGAGCTGCATTCTGAGTAAAAGAGGTGCAAAACCAGCGAGAAGAAAAGTGCTACTCCCAGTATCTCACAATCTCCCACTAAGCTCCCACCCATTCCATGATCTTAGCACCGCTTCGGCACAGGTGAGGTAGAAAAACGAGCGAGATCATGCAATCTAACCATATATAGCACCCATGTAACAACTATGCACTTCATCTCTCTCCGTACTCACTCACATCTCTCATCTTTTATCTCCTTATTTAACTTATATATAGCACGCACATAACAACTATGGACTTCATCTTTATCCCACTTTGCAAGATTTTATTGAATACTTTCTGTGTTTGAAGTATAATGTTCTTTTTACTTGCAAATTCTAACAACCAAGAATTTAAATAATGGTTACGGTCGCGTTGCAGTCGCATAAAGGCTTTCACGATTTCGGATGGTATAGGTGCTGCGTAATAGATTGTGGTCGTTGCGGTGTGAATTAATCACAACATTGCACAATATAATTTGACTTCATTTTCTTTGTAAAACAAAATCTTAGTTCACAATTTTGTAGTTATGAAGAATATTTTGAAGAAAAAAAAAAGAAAAAGCAGAGAGTGTCACCTTTTCAAGCTCCTCCAACACACATCTGGTAACCTCACCTTTTTGCTCAAACAACTCATCCAAATTCATCTTCGGAACAATCGCACGGGCCACTACAACAACAACAACAATACTAATAAACTGTCTCATTGGCATGACAATCAATTCAACTTTCTCAAAGATCGAAAGCAATACTAATAATAACTAGAATCATTCATCATCAGAAAAACAACCAAAATCATAAACAAAAACAATAGAAAAACACAAACCATCAAAAACATAAGCCTGGATCTGTTCCTGAGGGTTTTGCAACTCATAAAAAGCATCATCAGCATTTTCCTTAACCACACGGTACTGAATCGAACACAACAACTGAACAAAAACATTATCCTACACAAACACAAAAAACCACATAAATCAAATCAAATCAAATAGTGTAATAAAAAATAAAAAAACTCAAAATGAATGACACAACTCACCTTGGTTTTGGTTTCGATTTTGACATCAAGGGAAGCAATACGAGTGGAGAGAATACCGGCGAGACATTCACCGGCGAAGGGGTTGAAGAACTGGAAACCAGGTTGAGCCAATCGGTGAAAACGACCCCACTGTTCAACAACACCGACGCTAGACTGTTCGACGCAACCACAGAATAAACAGAACGTATTCCCCATGAGGAATTTTCTTCGATCGATTGATACGAATATTCCAAACGAACAACAGCGCCAATTTTAACCGTTGTTATTGATATTCTATATAAGGTGTAAGAAATAAAAATCTGAATTTAGCACTATGAAAAATATTAATATATATGACAATGATGGGTTAAGTGTTTTTGTGGATTTGGATCATACACGAAAAGAGAGTTAGAGAAAAGTGCTAGTTGTACTTACCGACATCGTTTTAGTGTATATTTTTAGGTAAAGTTAGTATATGTAATTTCTGTTAGTTATGTGTTTTTTTTTAAATTTACTTGAAATAACTTCACTTATGTCTAAGTATTATGAGATTGAAATTAAGTTCTTTTCTCTTTGTTACTTTTATTATAAATTGAGTCACAACTCCACTAATGCATAAAAAGTTTTTTATTAGAAATTGCAGGATGAATGTCGTGACATAAACTCATTCAAAGTGTTTGGTTGACTATGGTATGCATCCATCCTTCAAACATTCTCAACCATCATTCAAAGGTACACTATATCATATGTCTAAATTCTTATATTATTTTAATATCTCCAATTCTCATTTTCATTATTCCTTATCCTTAACCTCACAAACTAAGTCAAATATTGGAATCGAGGATAGTAAATTTAAATACTTAATTAAGTTGAACTGAATGCTCTTGAGAAAAATGAGGCATAGAAACTGGTGAATTTGCTTCAAATGTAAAGAAAATTGGATGTAGTTGAGTGTATAAGATCAAACATTCAACTAATGACTCCATTTGGAGATTTAAAGTAAGATTGGTGGCTGAGGTATTTGGATCGAACTCTAGTGTCGACAATGGTAATTTTATGGTTCGACAGGAGTTGTATATGTTTAGTCAAAATTTGTTCGAGCATAATGTCGAAATGTATTAACTTGTATTTTAAGTTAGTATGTCGAATTGAGTCTTACTTCTAAGTCCAATTGTTAAATTAGATTGTATCTTAAATTAGCTTAATAGTCTATAAATAGACTAGTTCTCTCAGGTTGTTGAGAGAGGTTAATTGTTGATATTCACTTGTAATCTTTAAACCCTTATTAAGAAAGTGAATAGAAAAACAGATTTAACCAATTCATATTCTTATTCTTCCTTATTCTCTTCCTTTTTTAAAATCAAATAGGGTTTCTTGTGTTTATTCAAGAAACTCAAATTTTTTTCTCATATTTTGCTTTGTTCTTGACGACATCAATTCACAACAAATTGGTATGGTGAGTGTGGAAGAGAAGATGTCGTCAACAAAGTATGAGATTGAGAAATCCACTGGTGTGAATGATTTCGGTTTGGGGTGGTTGAAGATGCAAGCCCTTCTTGTTCAATAAGGTTTGTTAGAAGTGTTGAAAAGATCAGAGAAGACGGATGTTGCCTTATCAGAGAAGGAGAAGACAACGATGGTCGAAAAAGCCTATAGTGCCATTGTGTTAAGCCTTGGTGATAATATTCTCCGGCAGGTTTCAAAGGAGAAAACTTCAGCTGGTGTGTGGACAAAACTTGAAGGTTTGTATATGATGAAATTGTTGGTTAATCGTCTCTACCTGAAGCAAGCTTTGTATTCTTTAAAGATGAGTGAAGACAAAGCCTTGGCTGAGCAGCTGGATATGTTCAACAAGTTGATTCTTGATCTTGAGAATATCGAGGTTAACATTGATGATGAAGATCAAACGTTGTTGTTGTTGTTGTTGTGTTCTTTACTGAAGTCTCATGCTCACTTCAAAGAAACTTTCTTGTATGGAAGAGAGTTGTTGACCTTTGAAGATGTTCAATCTACCTTGTATTCTAATGATTTGAACAAATGAAAGGAGCGTAAGTCATCTTTTGTTGGTGAAGGTTTTCCCGTTAAGGGGAAATTATTGAAGAAAGATGGTAGGTTTGAGAAGAAGAAAGGTAAAGTTCTACAGAATTTTTATGGTAATAATACTCCTACTATTAAGTGTTATCATTGCAAAAATGAGGGTCATACAAGAAAAGTATACCCTGATCGACTAAACAATCATGGTGAAAAAGATAATGGTAATGCAACCATTGTGCGAGATGGTTATGAATCATCTAATATCATGGTGGTTTCAACAAGTGACTCTAGGAAGGAGTAGATTATGAATTCAGAGTGTACTTGGCACATGACTCCAAACAAAGACGTGTTTGAGGAATTGTGTGATCATGATGATGGATCAATTCTGCTAGGAAATAACAAAGCTTGCGAAATTGTAAGTATTGGATCTGTGAGATTCAAGCTCCATGATGAGTCAATAAGGCTATTGACTAATGTTAGGTATGTACCTGATCTTAAGAGAAATTTGATTTCTCTTGTTGAATTTGACAAGAAAGGATATATTTTCAAAGGAGAGCAAAGCATCCTAAGGGTAATGAAGGGGTCGAAGGAATTCTTGAGAGGCGTGAAAAAACAAGGTTTGCATACCCTTGAGGCTGAATGTCACGGCGGGAAAAATTATTAAGATTAAGCTATTTATTAACTTAACTCAAGAAGTAAGAGTTGTCATCAAACTTTATTGTTTCCAAAGGAAAAGGGAAAAGGTAGAACAAAATCTATAAAAAGCAAAAAGTTAAAAAAGAGAGATCTGGATATAGGGGTTGATTATGCAAGAGAAAGGTATTAACACCCCTCACATCTGTTGTAATCAACGAGAACCACTTGCAAATCCGTGTTTATAAAAAAAAAGTTGGGTTGTTTATTGATTGATTTTAAATGAAAATACATTTTGTCACATTCAAGTGGAAAAACTCAACTTATTACCCCCACAAGTATGAGGAAATGAGTATTTGCATCATCTTGATATGGATAAATTTTACTTGGACTTTCTCACAAGCACATATCAATATTTAAATGGAACATATCGGTCATTTCGTAGCATCTTGTAGAAGTATAGTGGTTTACATCACTACAATAATAGACTATTTGTTTTTAGAGAAATAGTCTATTAGAGATTTGATGAGATTTGTCTTTTTTAGAGATTTTGAAATGAGTTTGAATATGTTTAAGTGTTTTAGTACTTATTGAGAAAAATATTTTCTGGATCACTTGACAAAGTCAAAGTTTATTAAGAAAAAAGATGTGAAGTTTGAAAACAAGAAGTTTTTGAAAAAGGGAGAAGTTTTGAAATTTTAAGAAATGGGAAGAAAATGGAAAGATTATCCTAAAGCATAAAGTAAATGGTTTCATTGTAAGGCAGCCCAAGAGAAAGCTTTTATGTGTGCAAGTGTACTAACCACAAGAAGGGACAAGAATTTGACATTGATTAAAACAAGCATTTTCCCCTTTGTATTGAGCCACAAGATGAACAAGTAACAGACACAGATGAATATCAAATAAAAACTAGATGGACAACCAAGATCACCAAGCCATAAAGAGCATCCAAATATTGAATTGAAGTTCAAAAAGTCTCAAATGAAGCACTATGTCTCAATGGATCACAAGGTCTCAGATGTCACTGAAAGCAAAGGAAAATACTAAGTCATAATGTTCAAGGTCCAAAATACTCCTCAAGCAAGAGATAGTAACACAAAGTCTATGAGATCAAATTAAATATTTTTAGGGTTTTATCCATTTTGTGATGTTTTTGTGCTTTTGAAATAAGAAAATCAATAAAAGGAAAAAAGTAAAAAAAATAAAAAATAAATAAAAGGCAAAAATGTAAATGACAATGAATGTAAAATGATAAAAATGTAAGGACATAAAAAAGTAAATGACATAAATGTAAAGTGTAACACCCCACTTCCCAAAATCAATTAAATTAATAAACGTTATAAATAAACAAAATCAGAGTTCCAATTCTCCCAAGTGGGATATCACATAAAAACAACGTTTCCTTATAAAAAGGTTTTTCTCCAAATACAGCGGAATGTTCAATAATAAAATTCAATAAAAGTTTGATACGTTCACAGGGAAAGAAAATATAAGTTCAACATAAAATAAATAAAAACGCCCAAGTCTCGTGCTACGTATCAGAGCATCCTAGACTCGACAATCACACCAATATCCAAGCTAGCTAAGCACCTGGATTATCTGTACTTCCGAAGAAGCACAGACCACAACAACAACAAAGGGGTGAGAAAACATGATCAAAAATATAATGGTAATGTAATACATGTAATAAGGCACTAAAACACACCACACATCAATTATTCACCCCAACAACACCATATAACGAACCTACTGTTCAAATTACAATATAACATATTATAATGCAAAATGAAACTCAACACCATGCATGCGGTACCGACTCATTGGTTCATTCAATCGAACCCACCATTCTCCATAAAGGAGTACGGGTGAATCACTTACGCTCCATCCGAGACATGATTCAACCCCACCATTCTCCATAAAGGAGTACGGGTGAATCACTTACGCTCCATCCGAGACATGATTCAACCCCACCATTCTCCACAAAGGAGTACGAGTGAATCACTTACGCTCCATCCGAGACATGATTCAACCCCACCATTCTCCACAAAGGAGTACGGACAGATCACTTACGCTCCATCCGAGACATGATCCACCCCACCAAGACACCATGATATGCACACACCAATGCATAACTATTATGTTCAGGCGCACTAAGTGCACACGATCCACCTGATCGTATCATCATACATCAATGCATATATGTACAGATATAACATACACCAACACCATATAAATCAACCAGATAATAAACAGGTTCATATTCTATCACCAAGATACAAACACATCCCACTACTCGGGGATACACGATCCTACTGATCACTACATACATATATATCAACCAGTTGTCCACTAGTCGTTATTACGGGAAACATGCACTATCACCAAGTACACAAGTTAGTTCCCTCACTCATCATTCTTACAGTGCGTCAAGGCCAAAGGGATCACACAAGCCCAAGCTCAAGGCTAAAACATCACAGAAATCACATTCTGGTTCTGCTACGTTCGCTGACATTCGCCAGGCGAAGCCCCGTAGCGAACCTTCGCTAGCA